ACCCCGCCCCACCACCTCACCCTGGCTCGTGTTCCAGTCCAGGAGCTGCAGGACGTTCTTGTGGTGCCCCAGCTTCCTCATGATGGACACCTCCGTCTCCACTCGTTTGGGGCTGACACCTGAAACAGGCAGCCCAGGTGAGACCCATCGCCCTCTCCAAGGGCTCTGTGGCCACTGTTCAACACCGGTCTCACAGGGCTTGGATCTCTGGTGAAGACGAACTACAGATCAAGCACGTTAAGCAATCCCTAGTGTGCTAGCCATCAGCCTGCACATTCAGGCTGCACATTCTGTTCAGAAAAAGTAGGGCACTAGCTTTTGCTTGATAAGCACTTTCACAGTGCAATGTACACTACATATCCCCTATTCAGGGACTTTACCAAAGCAGACCTGTGCATATAGTGTCCTGTATTTAATATACACAGATTTTGCACGAGATGTAATAAGGTTGCCTTATTGCTGGGTTCCTGAAGAAGATGCAGGGTTGTGACTTGCTTTCTCAGCAGCTTGCCCACTCTTTTATTTTGGGGGGGGGGTGGGGGATCTCCAAAAAACCCACCTTCTTTCGAGATCTTGCAGGTGAAGAACGAGTGGCCTTTGCAGGTCCCACGATTCATCCTGGCCTTGTAGAAGACGCCCTCCTTCCCAGCCTTGATGATCTGCATGAGGTTTAGGTCCGCCTTCGTGAAGCGGGGTCCCTGGAGATGAGAGGTGCCCCCCCCCCCGTTAGTTTCCTCTGGGGCTCCCTCTGCAGTGAAGCCCTTCATTCTCTTCTCAGCGCCCCAGAAATAAAACCAAAGTTCCGAGCGAGAACAAAAACGTCCCGGGATCCGAGACTTACTGGTTGTGGTGGCCTCCATATCGACCTGCTCAAAGACTTGGATTTCTGCCTCTCCGCAGGCGTCTGCTGGCCCGTCTGGACAGGGTCCTCTTCCAGGGTGTCCAGCGAGGTGCTGTGCGGCGTGGGGGCGTCTGAGGGGGGGACATTGACAAAACAGCCCGTTCTCTGAAGGTTCTGGATGGTGCGCATCAAGGCACGGTACCTAGACGGAGAACATGCGATGGGAAAGATCCGTGAGTCAGTGTTGTTAGTTAGTGTTGTCAGCGTTACCATGAAGCTAGGCTTTATGTAATCCATCTTAAAAAGTGGGCAAAGCTGGTCCCACAGTTTCCATGAGCGGGAGGTCTGTAAAAAGCTCCTAGGATCTACCACTTGCTAAGACTAATTGTTCATGTCTACCAGTAGGAGGCACTATTCTCTCTCTGTGGATCACAGGATCTATCGAGGTGCTCCAACACTGGTTCAGAGATCCACTGGCTCTCCAAGCTGATTTACCTCTCCCAGCCATGATCACACTGACTATTCTGCCTGTGCACCTTCACAGGGATTCTCAAACACTCCTGTACTGCAAAAGACAGCAAAGGCCAAAATGATACTTAAACTTGGTTCACGCAGGGCTACACTGTCAGCTTATCTCCTTCTCATCTTTCTGTTCATTTCCAGATTGCTGCCTTCCACACCTTCTCAGGAATTCTGTCTCTTAAACCACTTATCTCTCCCTAACACACATGACGAGACTCTACAGTCCAAACAACGTGGTTTTTCTTTTTCCTTTTCAGCCTGCTTGTTCCCCTGCAGCCAGCAGGCTGACACAGCTCCCAGCTGGAACCTCTGCTTTTATTTGTGCGGGGCTGACCGCGGGCGCACTCAAATACTCACTTCCTCAGCCAGAGCACCACCAGCAGGGCGATGGCCACCACAGTGAAGGCGGAGATGCCGATGAGGATGTAATGTGCCTCCGTCAAATCTCCACCTTCTGGAAAGAAGGCAGAGAGGATAACAGATCGACACTGGTGTAAAGTAGGCAAGCCGGAGCAACTCCAAACAAACACACAAGGTTCCTTACTGCACTCACAGGGGCCTGGGTGGTCTCTCCCCAAACCCGGTCTGTGTACATACTCCAGCAAGTACAGAATCATGAACAAATCCTGTTAATTACCATGTCTTCATTAACGAAGCTTTGGGCTCTTGCTCATAGCCAGGCTGCCAGCCTAGATCTAGTTTCCATGCAGGAAGGAAGGGCAAGTCCCCCACCCCACCCCCCATAGCTACCTGTCAGAGACAGGGCACCCAGCCGTCGGCCAGAGCCAACAATAACCAGCAGCCCCTCCTTGCAATCTCTTGCAAAGGCCAGTGTGGACCCGACACGTCTTCTCGGCCTGCCGCAGGTCCACTGCGGCGATCCTGGTGCTGGCATGTTCGCCGGGGGGGGGTTCAGAAGAGAAGAGGAAAGGAACTCACTGGGAGGGGCCGCGGAGCCGTGCGTGTTGTTGGCCATGTCCCCGGCGGCGGCGGGAGCGGGTCAGGCGGAAAGAGTGAGTCAGGCCGCGAGAGCTGCGCCGTCTCCTGACCACGGTGACCTTTGCGCAGCGGAGTCTGGTAGCACAGAGCCTAGAGCACCTGCCCTGCAGCGCCCTGTCACACAGGAAGACACGGCCCTGTATTCAGGTTACTCCGTGCAAGGCTGACGTTTTTTTTTCTCCAAAAAGCACAATAACATACCAGAGGGTCACCTTCTTTCAAGATGCTAATCTAAGACTTTGAGAGGCCATTCTGATATGTCAATATTAGGAGCTTTTTTTGTAAAAAAAAAAACATGAATTAGCAATAAAACTCTGTACCAGCCTCGACCTTTCTCTGCCTCCTACTTCGTGTGAAGGGGTTCTGCTACCTTCTGTCAGTTCAAACGCCAAACATAGGCGTCAGGTTTGTCAGAAAACTCAACTTGCAGGCAGCAAAACTGCTGCCTCCTCTTTCCCCAGGGCTGAGCCTGCAGGACAGCAGCTGAACCGGGCTTCTGACTCTGCAGCGAGGGTCCCTGCCCAACGTGAGCGATTCAACTGTGAACCAGGCTGGTTCAAGGTGCGATTCCTGTAAATATGCTACAGTACATACAGAATAAAAAAGGAGTTTTGAGCATCTAGCTACAGTAACTGATCAATTAGACCAGGTCTCACTGGAGGTCCAAGTAGAATAAAAGACAATGAAATACATTACTGAGTCTGTGTGTGTTGGCTGCAAAGGAACAAGTTAATGTTGACTCCATGCTGAAAGACAGAAAGTAGAAAAACATTTTGGCTGTAGAACCTTCTTCTTCACACCTGCGGAGGTACCTTGTTCCATTATTCGCAGCAGAATTAAATGTATCTCCCTTTGCTCTAAAGGACTTGTCTGCGCTCCATCCTCCTCTCCCTCAAACGCACCTCGAGGTGCTCTAGCTGTGAGCCCACAGTGGCCACCCAGGTGTCTGCCTATCGACCAGACCTGCGAGAAGCAGAGACACACAGCTGGGGGCCCGAGGCCTGTTCTCAGCACTGTGTCCCTTTTGATGGTTTAGCACCTCACGCTCGCTGCTTCTGTTTCGGGGGAATGAGAGAGAAGCCTCTGCAGGCAGGTGACCACATCCTTTTGTTCAAAAAAAGAGTCACCGTTTAATCAAGGTCTGTAAACCAATGGTCACATTTTTTTGGTTCTTTCATGCCACAGTACCTGTTCAGAAAAGGAAAAAAATCCCCCTTTTCATGTGAAGAACTAGAATATCCTTCTCCCACTTCCGGACAGATGCTCATCATCTTGCCTCGGCGTTATTCAATGTCTTTCCGATCAAGCAGCTGTCCCCTCCGTTACACCGCGCTGTGTCTTGTAAGACCAGGGATTTAGCACTTGGTTTGTTTGCTATAATTCACAGGTGGCTGGGGCTCCATCTGATTTAGTAACGCATTGGTGAGGAGGTAAAAATAGTACTGATTTCCGTCCTAAAAATAGGGAGCCAACACCTACCTGAGTTTTTGGTTAGCACCAGCACTGAATTCAAAGATACGGTATTCTGTTCAACGTGGTTCGAGATCCGCAGTCAGCTGGACATTGACTAATCTCGCTTGTTAACTTAATGACTGTTAACTTTGACTCAAGTGCAGCATTTACATGCCATGCAAATAACCTCACATACCACGAGAATATAATGTTTTCACACGTGCGATCTTGTCCGATTACGAACAAGCCTGTCCTTATCTGGAGCCGTTTCGTGCTTTTGTGTTGTACAGCCTGGATTAATGTACTGCTGTGTTAGCTGGGGCCTCTACGTGCGTTTTAATAGGCTTCAGTAATCCTGTGGATATTGATCCATCCGCC